TCTGTTGGGCGCCAGACATAAGCATTTAGTCGAAAACACGCTACAACTACTACTCGCTGCATTCCTAAACAGGCTTTCCGGGCTATCGCTGCAGTAGCAGGGATGGCGATAGCCTGGAAGGTGGTGGAGGTCGTCGTTGGATATCGAACGCTGGTAAACTTTAGCTGAAATGTTTGATTTGACCAAATAAGCTTGTAACTGTTGAGAAGCTCACTGCTGAATCAGGCATAACTGATCTGTGACCTCGCATCACTTGGAGTAGGATAAAAAGTCCGGAAAAATCGACAAGGGGGCGTCGCGAAAAATTGCGGTGCGATAGAGCTGTCTGCTCTTCTTCTGCCTACTTCCATCCAATGAAAACGACCCCTTTTTTCTTTGGCTTTTGATATGTGCCCGTAGAATGGATTCTTCGCAGTTCAGCTGAGTAGTCTGATCACGACTAGACTTAACAAAGCTTCGCAAAGGTGAAACTACACAAGAAGGTCGTGCTGTATCTTACGCAGTGTGCATCACCTCTTCGAGCACAGGCACGACGATTCTAGGGGGACAGTGCTCTCTGTAAAGTGTCCAATACCCCAAATACAACACAGAGGAACACATGCGCTCAGCTTGGGCAGTCATGAATGGGATGGCTCCACTCCCGATGCACCTCAACGGCCGACTGCACTATCGACCCTAAAATTAATCCACTGGGGTACTGAATTATGCTACAGAAGTCTTATTTACTAATTCTTTTACTTATTCACTGCCACTCTTTCAACCTTCTGGATAGCACCTCAAAAGAGAAATGCTGCGAAATCCAACATGATGGTGAAACGACCTTCGCCGAGTTCATCACCTCCAGAACTCAAGTTCTTCCAGCGAAGAGATAGAACAAGCTGAGATTATGTAGCGAAAGACTTTCGGATTGGGATGGTTTTTACTGCGAGCGAGAACGTTGAGCTTGAGTCGACTTATGCACATTTGAACTTTAGGGTCCGAAACGGCAAGAATTCCCTTACAACCTAACGTATTGTACAGTTATTGTTTCTCATAGCAGCGCCGTTGTCCTGCTTTCAATACAATACAAACCTAATAAAATGCTAAACCTCACTCTCATTGAATTCTTGCGGTGGTTTTCGAGTTTCTTTATCAGTACCATCATAATAATCGTCGATCGGAGGGGTGTAAACTAATGTGCGATAACCTCTAGTAGACTCATTATCCATACTGGCTTCTGAACAACAAGAGAACGATATAGGATTTTCTTCTATATTAGACTCATAGGTAATCATTTTGCCACAATCACTCCCGCGAGGGTCCTACATGAACCACATTTTGCATGCCAAATGGGAAGATCTGGGTCATGTGTGACCCACTCACATGGATTCTGTTTTTTCACCTCCTACGCCACTTATTCTTAGCCTTTTTGCAACTATTTTTGGAACACACCTTCGCAACTATAAAGATCGAGGCTCGCAAGACGGTTAGAAAGGACCGCGTCATAGTTTTCAAAACCTTGGCCTTTATTCATCATTTTATGTCATTTTCTTTCTGGGCCATGGATATTCAAATGAGAAAAGTAGGAGATGGGAAAGGAGAATATGCATGGCAAGTTATGTGCTACGGTCAGAACATCCGAGAAAGAATGTTTTTCAAGTTCCTTTCAGATGGAAAAACAAATTTTCATGCGTCCTACTACACGCCTTGTTGGTCTGGAATCTAATGTACCCTTGAACAATTTGTGTGGTGTTGAAGTTCAAGGAGACCATTCATATAATTGTTCAGCGAATGGAAGCGGCCTTCTTTGGTAACAGCACCCAGTTAACGAAGCAGGGTGTAGAGCCAGAAGAGAGACAGGTGGGAACTCTAATTTTCTATGCAAAATTTTGCCCTTGAAACTGATTGTTATTTTTATTACTTTTTGAGGCTATGTAAGAGGCTGACAGTTGTTGATTGACAACAATAAAAGGGG